GTGCCACGTCAGACTCAGTGCCACATCAGCAGTGCCAGGTCACAGTGCCACGTCAGACTCAGTGCCACATCAGCAGTGCCACGTCAGAAACAGTGCCACGGAAGCAATGCCACATCAGCAGTGCCACGTCAGACACAGTGCCACATCAGACACAGTGCCACATCAGACAAAGTGCCACGTCAGCAGTGCCACGTCAGCAACATGACGGGCCTGCCAGGCCAACTGGCCAATGAGCCCATTGCCGACTACAAAAAGCGCGTCCATGCTCAGCTCGCTGCAATCGAGGCTGAGGAACAACGCCAGCTGGCAGCCAAGGCTGCCCAGCTACAGGCTGATGAAGCGGCAACAGCAGAGAAGCTGCGGCTTCAAGCCGAAGCAGACGCAGATGCCCAGGCTCGCCGCAAGGAAGCCCAGGCTCTGCTGCAGCGGCATGAAGCCAACAACATCGAGAAACTCAAGTACTCGCATTTTGAACCGAACAGCGATGAGCCAACACCGGAAGAGCATCATAAGGAGTTCATGGCAAAGCTCGTGAGCAGGTTGGTTTACACATGTAACCACCTAGGGTCCGAGCTGGAAAACCTTCAGCAGGCCGTGCGGAACCATAAGATTCAGCACGAGGATGCCACACGGGCACTGGACGCCCGTGTACTGGGCCTGGAACAGGCTGTACTAGGACCAGATGCTGGAGCTTCCAGCAGTGCATCCTCTAGCCGCCAACTGGAGGAATGCATTGACCACGTAGTGGCAATGCTAGGAGACATAAGTGCCTTAACAGAGCCGGCCACCATCAGCCAGCGGTTCGAGTTGCTGGACACTAAGATCAGTAAGCAACAGCAGACTGACCACAGCCACAACAACAGCTCGGCGAGGCCATACAAGATGCCGACGTTCCGGATCGAGAAATTTGATGACTACACACATCAAGACCCGGTCGTCTGGTGGCAAGGATTTACAACGGAGTTGGGGATTCACGAAGGCCCTGACCATCTGTTCATCAGTGCTCTATTCATCAACACCAAGGGAGGTTGTCAGATCTGGCTCAACCACATGGCAACCATCCACGGCGTCCAGATTTCAGACCTGTACAAGAAGGTCTCCTGGGAGGACATGACAAAGGAATGGAATAAGCGGTTCATCGTCGACGACGCCCCGACACTCACCGTCAACCGCATCTTCACGATGGCTCAAGGGAGCACACCGACACGTGACTGGCTCACGGATTGGCAAAAAATCGTGGCGACGCCCGATTTGGACTTGTCATTTTCGCATCTGCGGCGTGAGTTCTACAACAGGTCATGCGCCGCTCTCAGCCTCACACTTGGTGATCGCGAGCAGTACAACACTTTCGCAGAGATCATCAACAAGGCGAGAGAGCTCATCAAGACTAACAGGCCGGCTGCACACGAGGAGTCCATGTGGCAGCCAACCTATCTGGAGAAGGTACGAACTGGTCCGCGACAGCAGCAGTTCGCTGCAGTCCAGTCGGACAGTGGAGATAACCCA